GGGCGGGGCCGCGGGAGGCCTCGCTCTGATTGGCTGCGGGCGTGGCCGCGGGCGGAGGGGGGAGAGCAGCGTCCGCGCTAGGAGGAGAAGGGGGAGCCGGGGGAGGAAAAGGAGGCAAGAAGGAGCGAGATGGGGAAGACGGGAAGAAGAAAGGGAGGGGAAAGGGAGAGAAAGCAGGAAAAGAGGAACAAAAGTGAGAAAGGAGAAGTGGAAAGAAGCGAAATCGAGTTTCTGGCTCTTCGGCCGTCAGCTCTGTCTTGTGGCAGCGAGTCGGAAGGGGACACGAAGTAATCATGAAGTCTTGCAGGCGAGGACGGGGCGGTTTCCCAAATAACTGAGGGGCTGGGGGAAGGGGGGTCCTGGCTGAACGTTGAGGTCCGGGCACCGTTTGAATTTGTGTAGAGCTTAGTAGTTTGGTATTCCCAGTCTGGGCTTTCTCTTGCCTGCCCCACTCGTTGCCCCTTAAAATCACTGTGCCCCATTCTTAGAGGTGGAGGCGGTCGTTGTGCTTGCACATAGGGCTCGGATTACAGAGGCGAGGCGTCCCCTGGAGGGAGAGATAAGCGCGGACTCTAGCTGAGGGGGCGTGGATTTGTTTCATTTTCACAGGATTGATTATTCAGACAGTACTACTTCTCAAGATCCTGCCTTTACCTTAAATCGTCTTTACAACAAACTATAAGTAAATGAAACACCTAGATTTTTCTAAACTAGAATTCGGTACATTGACCACACCCAGAGTTCTTGGCAGTTACTATCCCAATCTAAGCCAAATTGTTAATGGTCCCTGTAGAATTGTGTTTCTCACTATGATGCCTTAAAATTTTTGTCATCCTGCTTGGGCCTTTCTAAAGCTTATTTCTAGCTAAGAGATTTTTTTAACTATCTACTCCATTTTTATATCAGACTTTCTTTTTTTAACATCCTGGGTCAGCTCTTGCCTAGCATTAAAAAATATTTTTTTTAAGTGAAATACCTAAGAAAGAGTTTTGGCAGCCTGGGATTTGCATTTAAATATATTCTCATACACTGCTGGTGGGAGTGTAAATTAGTTCAATCTTTTTGTAAAGCAATTCGGCAATGCAGATCAAGAGCCTGAAAAATGTTCATACCCTTTGACTTGGGATTATTCCACATCTGGGAATCTCGCTCACAGAAAAAGTGCAAAATGCAAAGATTTAGGTCCCTGTATTCAATAGATAATCTGAAAAAATGAGGGTTAAACAAACAAAATTCTACACATGTTAAAGCACAGAAATGTCTTGTGAGAGATAGAAGTCCGCTATATTAATTTTATACTGAAAAATTGGCATTGTCCTCAGTTGTGGTCCTGAACATTCAAAAAGTGCTTATATACAGTCAATGTTTTTGAGTTTTCAGAGGTCAGTCTGAGATCAGGGGCTGTGTCACAAAGCCACCTATCTGATCATTCTCAGCTGAGTGTTCAAGTTGGCAGACAGACATCACTTCATCACTTCCCTGAAGAAGAGAAGCTGAATGTTGAATATTTTCAGAGATTGCTTTGTCCTGAATTTCACTCTAGAAATTGCAGAAACCAAGACTTATACAATGCCTATTAAACAGATGGTAGGCACCCACATGATGAGGGCTTTCTGAAGAGCACTGAGAAGATGGCACTAGGAAGAGAGAGCACTCTCATGGAGAGATTCTCAGCAAGGGATGTTTTCCACCCTGTCCTTGTCTTAGAGCAGAGACACATGTTACCAGGAGGCTGATAATGTAAGGGTCCCAGCTCTGCTATTAACTTCCTGCTTTGGAATCGGCTTCCATGTTGTGCTAGCTATATGACCTTAAATTTCTGTAGAGCTCGGTTTCCTCACTTGTAAAATTGGGCCAATGATAATACTCCAAGTTTTGTGGGGGCTCTTTATTAACCCTTCTCTTTACTCTTCATGTCTGCCATCACCTATCTAAACCTATTGCATAGGCCAATCCAGTTAACAGCTATAGAAACAAAGCTGTGTGTGGGGGTGGGTGTGTGTGCAAGCATGTGTGTGCACATGCGCTTTTCAGTTTTTTAATAATCTGTGGAGATATAATTCATATACCATATACGAAGGTACCTCAAAAAGTTCAGGGAAAGATTCGTATTATCTTTTAATTCTATTTTTCCATGAACTTTTTGAAATATCTTCATATTTCACCAATTTAAATTGTGCAATTCATTGATTTTTAGTATATTCACAGTCAATCAATTTTAGAACATTTTTGTCACTCCAAAAAGAGACTCTGGGGCTGTTTGGTTAACTCAGTTGATTAGAGCACATTAGAGTGTGGTATTATAACAAGGCGAAGGGTTCAGATCCCTGTACAGGCCAACCACCCCCCATCCCCTGCCAAAAAAAATCCTGTACCCCATTTCCTTCCAACCCTCCCCCCAGCCCTAAGCAACCACAAATCTACTTTCTGTCTTTATAGGTTTGTCTGTTTTGGATACTTCCTGCATACATACGTGGAATCATACAATAGGTGGTCTTTTGTTGCTGGCTTCTTTCACATAGCATAATATTTTCAAGTTTCATCCATGTTGTAGCATGTATCAGTATTTCATTCCTTTTTATGCTGTGTATTTCATTGTATGGATATACCACCTTTGTTCATCCTTTCATCAGTTGATGGTCATTTGGCTTGTTGCCACTTTTTGGCTATAATGAATAAAGCTGTGATGAACATTCATATACAAGTTTTTGTGTGGACATGTGTTTTCAGTTGTCTTCGGTATATACCTAGGAGTAGAACTACTGAGACATATAGCTCTATGTTTAACTTTCTGAGGAACTGGCAAACTCTTTCCCAAAGTGGCTGCCCCACTTAACATTTCTACCGGCAATGTATGAGGATTCCAATTTCTCCACATCTTTTTCAACACTTAGTATTGTCTGCCTTTTATTACAGACATCCTAGTGGGTGTGTAGGGTATTGCACTGTGGCTTTAACTTGCATTTCCTTAATGGCTAATAATGTTGAGCATCTTTTCAGGTACTTATAGATCATTTGTATATGTGTTTTTGGAAAAATGTCTACTCAGATACCTTACTCATTTGAAAATTGGATTATTTGTCTTTTTATATTGAGTTGTAAGTGTTCTTAATATATTCTGGATACAAGTCCTTTAGTGGATATATAATTTGTGAATATTTTCTCCCATTGTAGGTTGTCTTGACAGTGCCTTTAAAAGCACAGAATTTTTGGGCCAAGCCCGTGGCGCACTCGGGAGAGTGCGGCACTGGGAGCGCAGCAGCGCTCCCGCCGTGGGTTCGGATCCTATATAGGGATGACCGGTGAGCTCACAGCGCTCACTGGCTGAGCGCTGTGCGGCCGGTCTCAAAAAGGACAAAAAAATAAATAAATAAATAAAAGCACAGAATTTTTGATTTTTAAAAAAGTTCGTTTTGGGGCCGGCCCGGTGGCGCACTGGATAGTGCGCCGCTTGGGAAGCGCGGCGGCGCTCCCGCCCGAGGGTTCGGATCACACGCACCCAAAAAAAGCTAGTAGGGAAACTTGCCAGAATTTGAACCCAGATCTGCCAAAACTCCAAAGTCAGACCATAATTGTGTCTCCCAGTGTGTAAATATCTATCAAATACTTTGTGCACATGTGTGAACATGCCAAACTTTGAATGATTTAAGTATAACCTGTATTTTAATACTTAGGACAGCATCATAAAATTAATTTCTAAATGAATATTGAAATTTATCCAGTTTCTATGTTTAGCAATTGGTGTTAATTTACCTCTCATAAGTGCTAGAAAGGTTCTACAATACCTCCTCCAGCCCTTTTATACTATTCAAGCTTTTTTTTCTTCTGTTGCTTATGCTTTAGGGCTTGTATCTAAGAAGCCATGTCTAATCTAAGGTCATGAAGATTTACACCTATGCTTTCCTCTAAGAGATTTTTATAGTTTTATCTCTTACATCTAGGTCTTTGATCCACTATGGGTTAATTTCTTTCACTTTCTTTTTTATTGTGGTAAAATAAACATCACATAAATTGACTTAATTTTTATATATGTTCAAAGATAGGGGTCCAACTTCATTATTTTTCTTGTGGATTTCCAGTGTCCCAGCATCATTTGTTGAAAAGACTATTCCTTCCCCACTGAATTGTCTTGGCACCCTTATCAAAAATCAATCTACCATAAATGTTAGTTTATTTCTGGACTCTCAGTGTTATCTCATTGATCTTTATGTCTTGATTATGCAAGAACCATACTGTCTTAATTACCTTAGTTTTATAGTAAATATTGAAGTTGGGAAGTGTGAGTCCAACTTTGTTCTCCTTTTTCAAGAATGTTTTGGCTATTCTGGGTCTCTTACATTTTCAAATGGATTTTAGGATCATCTTGTTTATTTCTGCAAAAAAAGCAGCTGGGATTTTGATGGGAAATGTGTTGAATCTGTAGATCAATTTGGTAAGTATGGCCACTTTAACAATATTAAGTCTTCCAATTCAGGAACATGGATGTTTTTCCATTTATTTATGTCTTAAATTACTTTCAATGACATTTTGTGGTTTTTAGTCTACAAGTCTCGCACTTCTTTTGTTAAATTTATTCCTAAGCATTTTATTCTTTTCCATGCTATTGTAAATAGATTTATTGTCTTCCTTTTCAGATTGTTCATTGCAAGTGTATAGAAATACAGTTGATTTTTGTGTGTTGATCATGTACCCTGCCACTTTGCTTAATTCATTGATTAATTCTAGTAGTTTTTGCTTCATGTATTTTGGGGCTCCGTTGTTAGGTGTTATACGTTTATAATTGTTATATCTCCGGTGCCTTCTGTACTCACTAATTCTCCAGGGAGAATTGGCAAGGAGGAAAAAGGAAGAAATAGGAAGAAGGAAAATGGGAAGG